CTGTGAGTGAGGATGAGGCCTGTGGGCGGTTCCAAGGCCACCCGCTGCCTTTCCACCTGCAGACGTGACAGCCGGCACTGAGGACTCTGAGTCTTTGGGAGTTTGGGTCTGATTCTGTGGCTACGGTTAGTCATCTTTTCCTGGTGGTCTCGGTGCAGATCCCAAGTGACACTCAGTTGTCGATTTCCATTGTCAAGATTGTTTGCTAGGCTCTGAGCTATGACAGTGGGCCTAAGGTTAAGTGTGGTCCCTGCAGGTACCAGCGTGGCTGCCGCTCCTTGGCTGCGAACCTGCAGGCCAGCACCCAGAGCCAGAGGGAGGCCCGGACGCATGTCGAGACTCCTGACAGCGAGGAGGGCTATGACGTCCCCGAGGAGGTGGAGAGTGTGATAGGTGTGTGGCCTGCAGCCTGAGCGGCTGTCTGGGTGGGTGGGAGACGAGGCTCTGGCCCCACTTGCTCCCTGCAGCGCTTTGGTGGAGGCTCTGAGGTCAGTCTGTTGGCTGCACCCCCACTTGCCCATTTGTGCCATTGTCACATGACCTTCTTTGTGTCCATTGAGCATGTGGCCTGCAGTCCAGCCCCATCCCCACGAGAACATCCATACCCGTGGCCATTGGGGTCCTGGACCCTGAGATTCTCCCACTATTGGCCTTCATTTCCACCTCACTCCCAGTGTACATCAGACTCCCAGGCCTCACCTGGAGCTCCGAGCTCAGCTTCCTTGACCCCAGCCGCCCACTCCCACCTCACAGAGCTCTCCACCTGCCCCACTCTCACCCCAGGTGGCAGTTCCTGCTGAACACAGGGGCAGAGTCATCAGCAGAGCCTGCTTCCCCACCCCTGCCTCATGGCCAGGCCCCACACGCAGGGCCAGCCTCTGCCGACTCCTGGTCAGGCTCTGGCTCTCACCGATGGGCTCCCACTCTGGCATTCACTGCTCCAGGCTCCCTGTGCTGAAGGGCAGTGTCTCACTTCCTCCCTGATCGCACCCCCAAGGTCCCAGACTGCCCATCACAGAGAACTCGTCCGCCTGCACAGGCTCCTGTTCCTCCATGGCAGGCCTTCCCTGGGGCCCTCTGTCAAGGTTTCCACCCATTGGGCTTGCAAGGCCCTTACCGTGAGGGCTCTGACACCATCCCAACTTCCTTCCGTCCGGCCTTTGCATGGCTTTTCCTAAAGTCGGGCCCATCCTCAAGTCCCTGTCCCCGTATGGCTCCTGTGTGTTTCTGGGGGCCTTGCTCACTGGCTCAGGTCACTGTTGACTCTGGCTTTCCTGGTGCTTTGTGCCTGGGGCCGCTCAGGTGAATGTGCTTCTGAGGCACAATGGCAAAAGTTGGTTTCAAATGGTTAGAACAGAGAAGGAAATGCGCTTTTCTTGTCATTAGAATGAACACAATTCCCTCCATGGTGCTCTCTCAGTGATGTGAGAGCTGGGTGCCTGAAGCTGGGAGGTGAGGCAGTGACTCAGGCGCTCACGGACCTTCCTTCCTGTCTTCTGCAGAGCAGCTGCTGGTCGGGCTGAAGGACAAGGACACGGTCGTGCGGTGGTCTGCGGCCAAAGGGTAGGTGACGCCATCTCGCTGAGCGCTGGGTGTGGGGGCTGGCGGCTTGTGAACGAGACCCCTCACCTAATTCAGCACTTCATGTGGAATCTGAGAACTGGGGTTTTTTCTAATTTACATTTGTTGTTTTATGTCCTAATTTTAAAGATAATCACTGAGGTTGACTTGAGGCTCCTTTATTTCCTTGGTTTTTTTTTTGTCTAGAATGGGCAGAATTAGTATATGCCAGTGTGCCTGTCCCACCCGCCAGTGTTCCCCACCCCCCACAGACACTCGAGGCCCCATTTAATCCCCGGGTCTGCAGGATGGGGCTGGCCGGCATCCTCTGTTATGCCTACACAGAAGGTGCTGCCCAGCAGGGCCAGGCCTCCCACAAGGCAGAATCTACCGTGGGGTGAGGGCACTGGGGGTGCCAAGTACACAATAGAGGTGAAGACGTCCATGAGCCCTCTGTTGTGGAGAAACATAAAATGAAGGGAGGATGCTGGGGGGGAGGGGTTCCCCCCAGGGGTTCCCCTGGGCTTCTGTGCTGATCATCCAGATACACGAGCACTCAGGCTGCAGGGGGCACAGGGCAACCTCTGAGTCCACAGTCACGTCCGGTTGGACTGGGATGGGCTGGCGCAAGAGGCCTTCCTGGGGAGCTTGGCCAGGACCTGGCCGGCAGGGCCTGTGCAGGGATGCTGGTCCCACATCGGGAGCCTGACGGGAGCCTATGGTTGGCGTCCACTGTGGAAGTGGGGCCTCCCGCCAGGCGGGAGGGTCTGCAGGTGCTGGGTGCTGCGTGCCCACCCTTTGCATCCGACCTTAGAGGCGCACAGAGGTGTGTTTGTGGCAGCCTCGTGGAGTCCTGTGGGGCAGGTGACTGTGGAGTGCAGTGTGTGCCTCTGGCTTTGGGTCAGCCTCTGCGTCCCCGTCTCTGGAGGGAGGGAGGTGGCTGGACGGCTCCTGGCCTGGCGTGTGCCTCCACGATGGGCTGGTGGTGCTGACGAACGCCCTGGCCCTTCTCTTCCAGAATCGGCAGGGTGGCTGGAAGGCTTCCCCAGGAGCTGGCAGATGACGTGGTGGGGTCGGTGCTGGACTGTTTCAGGTACGTGCGGGCGGGGCAGGGGTCGGGAGGAGAGAGGGAGATGCACTTCTGGTGGGAAGTGGTGGCTTTTCTCTCCGACCTTTTGCATTTTCTTTAATTGAGCTTCTTGTCAGAGCCCCAGAGTTATGTTTTTTCTTTTTCTGTTTGAAGTGAATTTGAGAACTCCCGGTATTTCTGATATATTTTATCAGCTTAGGTTTTGTTACATTTCGTAAACCTTAAGGGAAAAAGTCAGTCTTGAACATACACACATAGGTATTCTTAGAGAGAACCTGTGGTCTGCACTGTCCCAGGGAGCATTCATGAGGATGGAATGTTCTGGATCTGCCTCTAGGGCAGCCACGAGCCGCTTGTGACTATTGCGACTATGAAAAGAGGCTGGTATCACTGAGGTCTGAATTGTAAGTTTTACTTTAATTTTGCCGGATTTCAGTGTCAACAGCCACACGTGGTGGTGGTTGGGTTGCACCTGTCCCAGCCTTGCAGGAAGTCTGGTGGCAGACGGCCTGCCCTTGACACGGGTGTGAGCCTGGGGCCTGCAGGTCGGGACAGGGCAGAGCCCAGGCAGCAAGGTGCTCCCAGGTGTGTGCGCGTGCATTGGAGACAGGCGCAGTGAGCAGTTACTCCCGGGGGTTTATGCTTAAGTGTCATGCCTGGTTTCAGAAGCAGGTGTTTGGAGAGCGGGTGCTGTTTGCTAGGCCAGTGGTTGCACTCCTCCCTCATTAGCTGGTGGCTTTTCTTCTAGGATTGCCGCCGAGTATGGAAAGGGCACCGTCAGCACTTCTGGGTGCTCAGGTGTGTGTGTTAGTCACCGAGGCCGCTCCTCGAGCGTCCCTCAGAGCCCGTGCTCCTCCTCAGCGGTTTCTTCTTGACTTCGCCTGGAGCCTGCTTGGTGACAATGTCAGGAGTGCAGGGAACAGGATGTCAGATGTGGGTCATCTTTTTCAGAATAATGGTGCAATGTGGTCAGGGTGTCTTCTCATGGAGACATCTCACTTCCCGCAGAAACGTACACTTCTTGTCGGGCCTGGGGGGCCCTGGACGAGGAACAAGACTTCCCTGTCTTTTCTGGCAGTTCTGCTGGCTTGTTTGAGGGCATCTTCCTGGAGTTCTGTTCTGGTGGTGTGGTGATGGGCGTGCTGATGGTGCTGGGACCCTGCTGGGCACAGAGGTGTCCCCGGGTGGCCACTGAGGGGGTGGCCATTGTCGTGGCCACGGTGGAGTGTCTTGCTGTTGAGAGAGGACGGAGCTCTGAGATGGTATTTGGGAGCTTTTCCTCTGGCCCCTTCTCCAGGGATGGCTGTCTGCCTCCAGCTCTTTTATCTGCTCCTTCCCTCTGGTCAGTTAAAGCTCCTTTGTATGGAACTCCCCCCTTTCCTCCCTCCCCTTTGCCACTGCACGCACAGCCTCCCTCCTGAAGCCCCTCCCCCATGCATTGAACATTTTTTCTCCCAAAAGACACATCTCTGGTCAGGTGTGTGGGTCTTTCTCCAGTCCAGCAGTCTTAGTGTAGCTTCTCTTGTCCTCCTGAGTTTAAGCTCAAATACTACTTTGCCTTTATTTTGTCATTTCTATGAACTCTGATTTTGTAGCTGGGCTGTGGTTTCCAGTGCAGTAGCCAAGTGCTCTCCAGTGAAATTGGAGTATTGCATTTCCTGTATCTGCTGATGTTTTCAACTCACAGGTGGGCTTTGGTGAGGCTTCTGGGCATCAGGTGTGGACTTCTGCACACGGGGCCTGGAGAAAGCGCTGTGGTCTCACGGTTCTGTGTGCTCTCAGTTTCCAGGAGACGGACAACGCCTGGCATGGTGGATGTCTGGCGCTGGCAGAACTGGGCAGAAGGGGCCTGCTGCTCCCTCCCCGACTCCCGGACGGTGAGTACCTGCTTTCGTTTGCTTTGAATCGTCGGGACTATTGTAGACGTGGGTGCCTCGTCTCTCCCATCTCCCCTGCATGGCCTGTGTGAGCCCACAACCAGGCCTGTGCCCTCACTGACGGGCAGTGTTTGTAGGAGAGAATGTGCTAGATCTCGCTCACCTTCCTTCTTATATGGGCCTTTCTCTTTCCTAATTGCTGCTTCTCCCTGCTGGGGAATTTAATTTAATTTAATCCTCACCCGAGGATATGTTTTTAGTGATTTTAGAGAGAGAGGAAGGGGAAGAGAGAGAAACATTGATGTGAGAGAGAAACATTGATCGGTTGCCCTCTGCATGCACCCCAACTGGGGATGGAACCCACACAGCCTTCTGGTGCATGGGACGATGCTCCAACCAACTGAGCCACCCGGCCAGGGTAGTTCAGGCTATCTCTTAGGATGGGGCAAGGTTTTACATACACATTTTATTTTTATTTAAAAAATTTTATTTTTTAGCTCTGTGCTGCGAAGCCTTGTTACATACACAGGTGGTTGGGAATGGCTTTCTTGCTTTAGCAGTTTGTCCTCTGACGTCACTGGACCTGCATTTTGGTGACCACCACCTGCCTGGTCGAGGACTTCCTCCCGAGTCCCTGGAGTGAATCCACCGCAGCACCACATGCCTCTCCAGGGCCTTTGTTGACATCCCGGTGGGGTACCCGTGGGAGAAACAAAGGGCTTCTGTGAAGAGGCTGGGGAGGAGGAGCTCGAAGGCCCGCCAGCCTTCTCCGCAGCCCTTTAGGAAGCCAGGCTCTGGAAGCTCGTCCTCCTGCAGCGCTCCGAGGCCCAGGGCCCTGGGGGAAGGCTCAGAGGAGCCAGGTGGGTCATGCCTGCGCTTGGTGCCCACTGGGCTGCACGTGCACTCGCACGCTCACACGTGCACACACACTCACACTCACTCTCATTCTGTGTTAATTGTTGCCTCAGCTCTAGTCTCTTTTTTCACTGAGTTTATTATGGCAGAATACTCTAAAATATAACACAGAGTTCACATTTGTCTCCATTTTGTGTACTCTTAAAGTTTATGAGTTTATTGGAAAATTGGCAATATATACATCATTTTAGGAAGTGGAAAGTGAGGCTGCATGAATCAGAAAGTTCACTGTAACATTATATGGAATGGACTGTATTGATAATAGCTCCACCAGTAATACACTTTCCCTCCTGGAAATAAATTATTTCTATAAATAGCCTCTTGATGTTTGTGTATTATTTACTCACAACAAGTCACAATGTCCTCAGCACTTTAATGCTGGTGCTGAAAATGCTGCTTCACAACACAGTAGATTTAATGATACAGTTGAGACCATTTGTTCTAGTGTAAGAATTGTATTTATAAGAAAAGTACTTTTAAAAGATTTCCTATGACATGGCTTATACCTGAAAGTTACCTTTTAGTCCAACCTATTTCATTCATTTTATTATAAAAATAAAAGCCAGTGTCTAACTCATCAGTCTTAGAGTATGAGTCATTCAAATATTTTTACAGTCCCAAGCGGAAGCACCTTATAATATTCATGCTTAATATTTACAAAAAGTGAGCTGAATCGTAGCTTTTTGTGTGTTTTTTTTTCTTTTTCTCTTGATGTGTATTTTGTTTTTTGAGAAGAAAAAACTGCTGTAAAAATTGACGAGATAAAAAATGCAGGGGCCGTGGCGGATGTGCTGCCCTGCGACCTGCCTCAGAGGTGTGTGCTGTGCCCAGCTCTCCTGCCCGTGAGCCAGCACTAGGACACCCGAGTCCTTTTCCGGAGAGTGAACACTCTGGCCGTGTCGCTCAGCTTCGTCTTCTTAGCTCCCTGCTGGGACTTCCCCGAATCCCGTGGGCTTGTCCTCTTCTGCCCTTTGGGTCTGAGGTCACTCTGAGGCTCCTGGCTCGCCGTGGCACTGAGAGCTGGCGTGTCTTGTTGGCAGGTGGACTCCTGGGCCATAGGCTCCCCATCGCCCACCCGGATGGTGCCCGGGCTGTAGGCTGCCAGTTGGCAGAGGGCCACGGCTGCCGTCTGCTTCTGCTCGTCGCTGCTATCCACGGCCCGTGTGTCCTGGGCCTTCCCAATGGGGCTGGTCATTGGAACTTCATCAGAGCCAAGGCTGTTTTGGTTCGTCTCTGTGTGTCCTGGCCCATCTCCAGAACCTTCCGGCCCGGTCTTCTGATCAGTAGCAGTGGCAGGTTCCGCCTCTGGCGCTGGGCTGTGGGGGGAAGGCCGCAGGGTCAGGGCATTGCAGGGGTCCTTCACCGAGAGGTTGAGAGGCACGTCCTGCAGCTCTGGGAAGTCTGCATACAGGGGACCGTGAGCTGCTGCTGGTCTGGCCTCCGGTTTCTTGGAGAGGTTCAGCGGAGCTATCCTGGAGCCGTCCTCTGGGCTGGGCGGCAGGGCCTCCATGCCGCGCGAGGTGCTTCCTGCCCGGGCCGGAGTGTCGATGTCCATGGCATCGAGACTGGAAGAGGCAAAGAGAAGAGAAAGCTTAGCAGGGACGTTATGTAGAAGAGCTGCCGTGAAGCTTTCATTTTATTTTTATTTATTTATTTTTTAAAATATACTTTTATTGATTTCAGAGAGGAAGGAAGAGGGAGAAAGAAACTTCAAGGATGAAAGAGAATCATTGATTGGCTGCCTCCTGCATGCCCCCTACTGGGGATCAAGCCCGCAACCCGGGCATGTGCCCTTGACCAGAATCAAACCAGGGATCACCCGGGACCCTTTAGTCCGCAGGCCGACGCTCTATCCACTGAGCCACACCGGCTAGGGCTGTGTGACTCTTTTAGAGGGAGTCTAAGCTTGCTAACTGAGCACAGCCAGAGACACGCCGTGGGGGTTCTGAAGAGGAGGCGTCCTTACCTTTGTGGAGGGTCGTCTCTGTTTTCTGGAGCCTGGGAGTCTGGGCGCTCGGTGCTTTTCTGGATGGGCTTGAAGGCTGTGAGGCTCCGTTCTGGTTGCTGAAGCCTTCCCAGGGCGTTCGCCGTGGGCTTGTCCAAGAGGTCGCCCAGCCCAGTGCAGGGCTGGCTTGTCTGTGTGAAGTTGGTGGGACTTGGCCTTCCCGGGGAGCCAGTGGCCGCGCTGCCTGCACGTGGGCTCATCTTGGTCCCTTCTGTGTCCCTCTGCCTGTCTTTGGAAGGGTCTTCAGCCTCGGCAGTCGGACTCTCTTTCTCAAACTCCGTGTGTTTTTTGTGGGAGTGGGAAGGGTTTGACTTGGATGGACTTGAGGCTGGGTAGACCAGGGTAGCTTCTTCCAGCAGGTGAGAGCTCTGATCCTGTGAAATACCAGGGACGGGCGGGAGTCTGAGGCCGTAGGAGGAAAAGGCAGACTCTGCTCTGTAGAATCCATAAGGAATTGGCAAGTTGGGGTGGTACTGCTGGAAAAACCGGTAATGGTCGTACGTCAGGGGGGACGGGTGCAAGTGCTTGGGCATCGGCCCGGGGTGAGACAGGAAGTGTCTTTGGTCTTGGGCCCCGTAGACTGACAGCAGGGGGGTGTCACACTCGGGCGAGCTCCCGGCCGGTCGGTAGGGGGAGTAGATGGTGGCCAGTCCATGCTCCGTGTAAAAGTGGGGCGAGTACTCGGGAATTGTGGGGTGCATGTAAGGGGAAAGGGCCCCAAACCCCTTCGTGGGAGGGATTTTATGTGAAAACTCGGGCGGGAGGAAAGGCGGGCCAGCTTTCCAGGGGTAGGCAGGGGCGTGGAATGCAGACTTGGTGTGGAAAGTGGTGGCCTTGGCAGTGGCGCTGGGCAGTGCCAGGGCCTCGGGAGCCTCGGCGTGTTCTGGCCCTTTGAGTCTGTGCTCTCCGACAGGAACAAAGGCCGACGGCCGCACGACGCCTTCCAGAGCAGGCGGGGTGCCTGCCGTGGCTTCTGGGGCTGGACCCCGGTGCTCGGCCTCCTTGTGGAGAGCAGGCTTCTGTCCAGGGCCCTTGTGGGGCCCCCGCAGCTGCAGTTCCAGGTTCTCCTTGGCATCATCCTTGGCCAGGCCGAGTGGGAGCTTGGTGTCCAAGTGGGGGAGGCTGTGTGTGACAGACTTGGAGGCGGTGGGCTTCACTGTGGGGTCCGGCTGATGCGTGGGCTTAGGGTCTAGAGGGTTAGACTTGGGGCACTTGGGGACTCGGTCTTGCTCCGAGACTAAAGTGATGGAGTTCTTACAGAGCCCATACTTCATGTGGTTGAAGAGATGGGACTTCTCATTGCAGGTGAAGGGACATTGGAAACACTTGTACTTGAAGGGCTTTCCCGGAGGCCTGGGGATATAATGCGGCTTTTTGGGCTTCCGCTCTTTGAGAAGACTCATTTTCCTCTTTCGGTTCAGGCTCCCGTTTCCAGGGGTCGGCTCACAGCTGGCTCCTGTTGGATCCGCACGTGGTGGTTTTAAAGGCGTGCTCTTGCTTTCCTTCCCACCGCTCTTACTTGAAGCCAGCTCCACGCGCTGCGGGTCTGCCCAGGAGAGTTGCGCTCACGGGGGGACTGGGAGCTGCAAAGGAGGAGCAGAGCCTTAGTGACAGGACACTGGCTGGAGGGCCAGTGGGGCAGCCCTGTCCGTACAGTGATCGCTGGGGGGTCGACCCAAGGCACCTGGAGATGCAGGCGATGTAAGATGTAACCACCCGTGGGTGCGGGGCAGGGTGAGCTGCCCCCGCTCAGAAACACGTTTTCTGTTTTCTCAAATCTGACCTGAATTTCCTTGGGGCCAAGAGGAGTGTGGAGTGTGGAGTGTTTGGTGTCAGTTCTGAGAATACCTGTCATTCTTTGAGTTTTGGGAACCTTGTTTCTGTGACCTGAGGCCTCAGATGCCAGAAAGGTTGTGGACTGAGGGGCTGAGTGACTGCTGGGATCCTGCCCCGACCACGCCCACAGTTTCTGGCCTGAGTCACATCACAGCGCGGTCTGACTGTGCTGAACGTGACTGCCGGAGGCCTGGCGCTGTGCGTGTGTGTTCCCTGAGAACAGGGAGCATGTAATTATGACGTTCAGGAAACACTGCTCGCCGGGGCTGCCCTGTTTAAGCAGGTTGTCGTCTACGTGCAGGCATTAAACATACTTTTGCAAATTGGATCCCACCCTAAAGCTACTAATGTCACAGACAGTTACGTCGTCTCTAGTACAGACGGGAGGGGGCTCCACACACTCACGTGGTTTGAGGTGCTGTCAAGGGAGCCTGTGAGTGACCCAACGTCTGGTTCTGGTCACTGCCTGTTTCCACTGCCCACCTGGTGAGTGGTGGGGGGTAGGTCCATGCAGCGCCCCGTCCCTGCCTGGCCAGCAAACACAGATCCCTCTGCGAGGCCGAGAGCGTGGCAGGGGTGCCTGCCTCTCTTTCCTGGCCTGGCCTCCAAATGGCAGGAGCAGAGCCTTGCAGCCCTTCTGGCCACGGGGAAGGCAGTGATGGTGCCTGTTTTAGAGACGGTTGGATCATGGTAAGAGCCCTTCAGCTTTTAACCTTTAGGAAGTGGGCCCTGGGCCACACCCACTCAGGTCTGGCAAGTGGCTGGCAGGGCTGTCCCTCCCAGGGCCTTGGGTCCCAGCTTGGGCTGCTGGGTGTCTGGCCTTCAGGTTACTTTCCCTTAGGGTCCCCCCACCCCCACCCCTGAGGCTGCACTTCAAGTCTCAGCCCAGTTTCCTTCAGAGGCTCCGCACACACACACCCTGGGCTCTCAGCCTGCCTCCTGCCAAACTGAGACGTGGATCTGGGAGGACCAGCCCCTGGAGTGACTGTGTCCCAGAGAAACATGTGGGTGGGGAAGGCGCCCTGAGGTGTGAGCACTTCCATTTGCATAAAAATGGGAAAAGGAAAAGGTCTTTAGCTTCTGTATATTTTCAAGCACTTAAATACAAGGTTCAAAGGAAATGATTTAACAGAACTTTTCAGCTGCAGTTTTGATTTAAGGCCTGAACAAGAGTGGCCGGATTTCACACACAGAGTCACCTCTCCACACGGGGGTGGGGGTGGGGGTGGGGGGCACTGACAGGAAAGCAGCCTTTGTGTGGGAACCTAAGAGACTTGCTTTCACAGCACAAGGTAGCTGCTTGGGTCCCACACTCGGGAGATGAGGTAATGGGCCCTTTCGGGAGGAGGGGTGGAAGTGGGAGGGTGGAGCTTTAATTTTCACTGGATACCTTAAATTCTAAGAACGCTGTCTGATTTTATTCTCAGCAAACTGGTTTCTCTGCTCATGTATCCTTATTTCTTAAAAATACAAAGAACCACTCTCCCACCCACAACCTGCCTCTGTGGAGCTATTTTGTCACCCAGTTCTTTCAAATACATGTGTGTTTACGGAGGTGGTTGGAGTAGAAAGAGGCTTTGCTGAAGCCTAAGCCTTCCGAGTTTCTGCAGACGGGACTGAGAGACGCATATTGGATGTGAAAGGAGACTTCTGGCTGCCCTACAACGCGGAGAGGGGGTCCCGGGGTCCTCCCCCTGAGACATTCATCCCCCTCCTCTTCTCCAGCGCGTGCAGCCAGGAGTTGCATGGCCGTGTCAAAGCCGAGCAAATGACACTCGTCATCCTAGCTCTGCGTCTTTCTAATGTCCCCGCTTAGTTAGCAAAGACGTGAAATAATTCTTTACGAGATCAGTCCATACCTTGGGGGGCAGATACTCTCTGGGTGATAAAAGCACAATTTCCTTGCCGCCCGTCATCAAGTGACTCCAGCCAGCGCCGGGCCAGCCAGATAAGTCAGTCAGCGGGGCCTGTGGTGGCACGCCTCATTATGCTCTCTGGTTCTGGAGGCGTGAGAATCTCTGCAAGTCAGCTTCCCAGGGTTGTATAGGATGTGTTATGGCAGAGACCTGAGCACCGGTGATTGCATCACTAGCTGCAGCACCATCCCAATGATGACAGTTGCAAAACGTTTATCAGGTGCGAGCCCTGAATCCCGGCGATACCGAGAGTGGACTCGGATCCACCCCTCCAGCATTAAAACACGTGAGCGCAACTGAGCGGAAAGTTCCCTCCGGATTTAAGAAAACGATGTCAGGTTTCGAAGCAGTCTTATCTAACGTTGCTAATACTTTTAGGCAAAATATAAATAGACCTACGTTGGTTAAGGTTTCTCAAAGATTTATAGGCGGCCAGTTATATGTACGTTATAGTGTTACCCAAAAGAATACTTTTGGAAATGATTGTTTTATGTTAATATGTACTTTTTTCACTCAAATGTTGACTAGACTTCTTGTTGTCTGGTCGGTTGGCACACAAGTACAGTACACAGGCTTCAGGGGATGACCCTTGGTACCGTGTTGTGGGAGGTGAGGGTCCTAGGGTCTCGTTGGAAGGACAGCCCGCACTGGAGTCACAGGTGCAGCAGTGGCGATTGTGCCACTCTGGGTAAACTGACCTCAGGGTTGCACAATCGCTAATTAAAACAAGAAGCACAGCGGCTTCAGGTGCCCGTGGAGGCAGGCGCAGTGCACTCGGCCTTAAAAGTGCAGTCATGCTAGAGGAACCAGGCGGGTAAAAGTGAGGCTGTTGTGGGCTTTCGAGGGCAGCCTATGGAATGATGGATGTCCGTGAGCTCTCCTGCCCAGGGACGGTTTACAGGATGACAGAACTAGAACTGAAACTGCTGGTGTCAGGTGTTCCCAGAAAGGGCCTTGTTGCCACAACAGGCCAGTCCAGAGCTTTAACTGTTTGTAGGAAGTGGATTTGCATTCAGAGGGAGATTTCTCTGGGGGACGTGAGAGGTGCTCCACTCTCCTTTTCCGGGGACGCGTGTTTCTCAGTTAACACTTCCCTGGAGAGCTGCATAGCGAGACGCTAACAGAGCAGGACCCTGTGACTTGGCTTTCCATGTTAGCATCTTTCAAATTCAGACGTCTGCCTGTTGAAAGGTTCCTGTGACTGTTTTCACCCTCCTGCCCTCCCACTGGGCTCTCTGCCGGCTCGGCTCGGAGGGAGCTGGCAGGTAGCACCTGCTCTGACTGAGCGGCTCCGCTCGCGGCCACCACCATCCTGTCCTTTCAGACTAAGCAGCTGTACCCCAGGGTCCACGCCGGAGGCAGAGGTCGGTCAGTGGGAGGCAGTGACTTGAAGACCGGCACAGGGGCTGGGCCCTCACAGAGGTTTTTCTACTTCATTTAAGTGTCCTTTTTGTGACTTTTCAAGCATTTTAAACATCTGCTTTTGCTAAGCTGATTGGCTGTTTTGCCTGTGGGAAGAGCTGGGAGCAGCGTCTCGCTGCCTCCCTTCTCCCCCTGCCTGGCTCTCCCCAGGGCGTGTGCTCTCCCCGGGCGTCCGGGCAGAACTGCTTACATGTGGTTTCAGTTGGCCACAGGGCTGTTTGCCTGCTGTGAAGCAGGGCACTGCCTCTCACTGTCTCTGATGGCTTCCCAAGTATGGACAGTTACTGTGGCAGCCGAGACGGTGGTTAGGAGAATAGTGAGTGGCTGGCAAGTTTAAAAAGTTTCTGAGGAATTTGAACTCTGAAAAATAGATGAGAGGAGGAGATTTAAAAAAAGAAAACTTTGATAGGACAAAATAGAGGTAATTATAGCTTAACTTTATGGGACATTGCTGTGCCGGGCTGGGCAGCCATCCCATCATGCCGTGAACCTGTGCACTGAAACCCTGCCTCGGTGTGTCCGGAGTCTGGCAGAGGCCTCGTCAGGTGGAACGTTCTGAAGGGCATGCTATAATTACGATATTGTGAGGTGGCGTTATTGCATAACTCAGGGACACGCCATTGTCGCCTACCCACTAGGGTGTTGCAAGAACAAGATTTGTGAGTTTTACTCCAATGGAGCTTTTCCAGTGATTAACCGCCACTCCCTTCCCAGACGTTTGGGTCCTTACAATGCAGGGTAACCTTCAGGACCACCGGGACCTGGGGGAAAGGCGCTTCCGCGAGGGGTTTGGGAGAATAGGTCCAGGGAACAGCCAGGGGCCCCTGGTTTCAGCCGAGGCCCCGCGTCCCTGACCGCTCTGCACAGTGAGGGCACAGCGTTAACGCTCTGCTGGGGGCTGTCACCAGAGCCCAGGAGCCCATGGTGCCTGCCCGCTTGTCCGCACAGAAACAAAACCAAACCAGTTCAAAGCCGGGGAAGACTCTGGTCATGCAAATAGAAATTAGGGTAGAAATGCAGACAGACGGTGCTCAAACGAGGTCTCGTCTCACACTTGGCCAGTAATTTGGTCAGTAATTGTTCTAATATACAGATTTATGCAAACCTTTATAAGAGCAGCAACACACACTTCCTTCTGACACAGAAGGATCCTCTTGGGTTAAGTTTTTTTTTAACCTTATGTTAAAACAGCACTTATTTTAAACTTTAACATTTTAAAAGGTTTTAAAATTAAAGAAACTATAAAATCAGCTGTATAATCACATTTATGTATATATATATGATCTTTTCTGTTGAAACTTATAGTTTATTTTTAAGGCGAGGAAACATATAAGCAATAATAGAAATTCGAGTTCTGTTTTGGACTGTGTGGGTTTTATGGTAGAAATGAGGGACTTAACTCCCAGGTAAGCTTGTTCCCAGGCCAAGAATGCAGCGTCGCCTTGTGAAAAGTTCTGTGATCATGGTCAGCTTTGAGTGGTGCACCTGCTGTCTAAGTAATCTCGGAAAACAGCAGGGCAGCCAGGGACTTGCCGAGCAGGTAGTTTAAGATCCAGCTGAGAGTAGTTTTGAAAGAAAAGGTGAATTTGAGAAGAAATAATAGGTACTTACCGGAGGCAGGCAGCGCAGGGAGCGGGAGGCGCGGTGGGAGGCGGACAGTGCCCAGGAGCAGGACTGTCTCAGCCGGCTGCTCTCAGAAACTGAGCGGCCGCCCCAGTGGGAGGGGTTTAAGTGGAGGAGTTGCGCCCTCAGGGCCTGGAGATGCACCTGATATTCCTCCTGCCCGCAGCTACGATTCATGTGTTTGCTCCCACGTGTTTGCACCCACCGAGCTGCCTCAGAGCAGCGTCACCCATGGGCCAAGCCGAGCACCACTCTGTGCCTCCCAGAAGCTGCCTGCTTCCCTCGTGGGTGCCAGCGTAGCGCCGTGGAGTGCTGGCCAGGCGTCAGGGCCACAGGGTCAGATGTGTTCCTGGTTAGAATAGAGAGGAATAGGGCACAGGTCAGACTCCCATAAATATGTGATGTTGTAATGAAGAAGCACGTGAGCCCTTCCTCCAGCAGCTCCAGCGCGTGGAGGGAGCAGCAGGCAAACGCCGGCATTTGGTCTGAACCACGTCTCCCCGACGGAGGCAGACACTCTGGTGTCTTCTCCCTGGGTCTGAAGGAGACAGCTGCTGCCTTTCGCCCTTTACCCTGTGCCTGGCCGTCTCTGTCCTCCCTCGTCCTCCTCGAGAGCCGGGAGGGAGGGAGACAGGCTCAGCGTTTGCCTCCCCGCGGGGACCTGCTGGCGCTTGCCCGGGACCGGTCGCTGGCCTAGCTCACTGCAGGGCGGGACTGCAGCTGCCGTGGGAATCGCACACCCTCTCTACCCTTTTCGTTCTTAAAAAAATAATAACTAAGACAATTTTTGAGCCCTTTTATCCCCCTCCCCACTTAAACTGCTTGCTCTTGAGTCCGTGGCTGTGTCCCACTGTTAGTGTGGCTGGAATGTGATGTCCGTTTGGGGATGGGAGAGGAGGCTGTGAGCTGGGTCAGACCCGGCCACGTGCGGTGTTCCTGACACAGGGTCGGGCTTCCCAGGCACATACTGTGTTTTTTTTTGTTTGTTTGTTTGTTTGTTTCTTTAAAAAATTAAGGCTTAAGATTTTACTTAAGGCTTTACCATTGGGTTGAATTCTTTAAACATATTTGTAGTTACTTTTGTCCGTATTAAACATCGTGTACTTTAAAGAGGAAAGTCTTGTCACAGGAAGCAGCGGATCCCTGCTGCTCCCCTTGCTGCTCCGGGGGAAGAAGCCACCGAAGCTTGGTGCCTTACCCGCTGTTGCGTCATGTCTGGGTGATGTGGGTCGAGAGTCTGGGCTGGCCTCCGCCCTGCCAGCCCTGTGCTCTGTGGGTGTTGAGGGCGTGGGTGGTGTCAAGCTGCAGGTGCACTGGACGGGGGACCCAGGATGGCTTCACTCACCTGCCTGGTGTCCTGGAGAGGGCAGCTGGGTCCTCCCTCCCCAGGCCGTCTCCCTTCCGAGGCCGCTCCAGGAGGTGGTCAGTCTTCCTTGGCTCAGGACTCTGGGAGAGCAAAGGCCAAGCGTCCAGTCCTCAGGAAGGCTAGGCCAGTGGTCGGCAAACTGCGGCTCGCAAGCCACATGCGGCTCTTTGGCCCCTTGAGTGTGGCTCTTCCACAAAATACCACGTGCGGGCGCGCACGTACAGTGTGATTGAAACTTCGTGGCCCACGCGCAGAAGTCGGTATTTTGTGGAAGAGCCACACTCATGCGGAGCAGGATCTCCAGGCAGCGCGAGGGTTGCCCAGCAGGAAGTGCTGCCCTGCGTGGTGCTGACAGCGGCGAGCTGCACCAGGGGACCGACGTGGTCAGGATTTCAGTTGAGCTCCTGCCTGTTGGGCCGTGATGGATCTGGGTGTGAGAGGGATGGGTGTCCCAGCAGCACAGCCTGCAGGGGGGTCGGTGCCACAGGCTCCCAGTGCAGCATCAGATCTTGGCTGTGACGTGACACCTGTCCCCCTCGTGGTGTGTGGGCCGAAAGCCCGTCCTGCTTCTAAGGTGAGGCCTGGAGAGGGCTCGGCGACTCTGCTCCACCATGTTGGGCAGCTTATCTTCCTTCGCATCCTCTTCTCTGTCACCACCTGTCACTGTCCCTCGCCCTCCCCTTCCCCTCCCCTTCTGTCCTCTTGGCAGCACTGTCCTCACAGCTGTGCTCAGTGCCAGCTGCTTGACTCAAGTCTGGGGTCCACCGTTTGCTCCCTTGTGACTTGGGGGTTCCCTGGCTGGGTTACCTGGCGGCCTCACCGTCCCGTCGGAGGGAGATGCGCTGGGGCATCCGCTGTGGGTTTCCCGTGCTGGTGGGGGGACGGCCTGTGTCAGAGCAGACACCTTTGTAGGAAACGGGTCACTTACGGGGAAATGAGATGGTTCTTACCTTAATGGTTTGCTTTCCTTCTGGCGCTGCCTCACGAGGAAAGGAGAAAGGAGAGGAAAACTCTACAGAGGTTCAGAGGCATCCTTTCAGTGTCTCTAACTTTACTTGTTGGAGAGCCCTAACCAGTTGCCAAGACCACATGTGTTCAGTTCTCGAACTAACACCCTCCTAAGGTTCTGCACTCGTGGCCCAGCCCCAGGGGTGGTTCCTGGGCTGAGGCTGTATCTCAGGCCTCCCCAGATGTGAGCTGTGCCCTCAGGGATCATGTGAGATGTGAGGAGCTCAGGCCAGTGGGGTGGGACGCAGGCCGGATGGCTGCTCCCCCAGGATCACAGGGTGGCATCGCCGTGGGGTCCCTTTCAGCAGATTCCAGGCTCCTGGAGGGCAGGGCAGCTTCAAGTGTCTTATGGCAGCTTATGTGTGCGTGTGCATGTGTGTGCGCGAGCGTGCGTCTGTGTGCGTTGTGCGCATGTGTGTGCGCGAGCGTGTGTGTGTGTGTGTGTGTGCGCGCACGCGTGCGTCTGTGTGCGTGCGCACAGATACATGCTCACACACTGCTCACCAAGTTCTTGCTGAGAGGACTGAGCGGAAGGGGACCCCACGCTGTGCCCTCTGCCTCAGCCCCGTGTGCTCCTCCGTGACGGGGTTTCCTGACTGGGTTGTGTCTGGGCCCCCGGAGCCCTGGTTCTGAGATGGCCCTGGCTGACAGGCACACTTGGTGGCACTTTCCTTCCTCGTCCGTGTCCTCTCTGTGGAACGCCCATTGTTCCCACAGCCCCCCTTTCTGCCTGGGTCTCCGTGACGAGCAGGGTCTTCCCTGTGGCCCTGGGCTCTCTGCGGCATGCGACTGGTGTCTCGCTTTCAAGGCGCTTTTTCTGGGGACTGAGGGCCAGGCCTGTCAGCCTGGAGGAGGACTCCAGGCCCTGCCCCCCTACACTCAGAGCCAACCAGCTGGGCTGGAACCCCCTTCTTGGACCAGTGGCGCATGAGCCAGCCAGCCCCGCCACTGCTGTGCGTGCCAGGAGGCGGGGCTGGCGCTGAGCTGTCTGTCTCAGGTGATGCCTTTGGTTTCTCACTTCAAAAAGCCCTCAGACTATCAGTGGATCGTTACCTCATCTAGCAGTCGAATAACTCGAAGTGCGGGCGTGTAACACACTGCCCACATTGTCACTTGCTTATTATTCCAGTGATGCCACAATTTCACTTTTTGTGGAACTGGAGCTGCTTTAATTCAGGGAGGGGGCCAGAAGGTGATCTGCCGCCCCTCTCCTCCCAGGCCTCCTGTGGGCTGTGTCCTCACCTGGAACCACCCCTCCGGACCTTGAGTGGGGGAGCGGCGGCTCAGGGTGTGTGGCCTGCGGGCAGCTCTGTGCCTGGCACACAGCCCCGGCTCCTCCCTCCGATGCCTGTCCCCAAGGAGCCTGTGGGGCAAGGGGCAGGGAAGTGGATTCCTCTTGCCCTGGGGGACTGGGCCTTGGGGACACAGCAGAGCAGGGGAGAGGTTCTTGCAGGACCCTACCCCTCTCTGCCCTTCCCCTGCGATTGGGCTGCGGCTTTTGCTTCTCAAGTGAAACTTGAAACCGAGCTTTGTCTTCAGTTGGGAAAGTGATTCAGGGTTGGCACCAGGGCCAAGTTTTGAGGGTTCCCAGTTTCCTGCCCTCACCTCCTGTCCCCACCTCATGGTGAGGTGTCCCTGTCGGTGTTCTGTGGCTCTGTCCTCTCTCCACTGGGTGTCTGTGAAAAGGTGCCCTTCACCAGTGATCGCTGGGCGCTGGGCTCGGTCACCATCGGTGCAGAAACCACTTAGTTCAGTGGAACAAGGACAACTAACAAATGAGACCCCCGCCCCCAGGTTGCAGATAACATCAGTGAAAACCATAACAACAAAGGAACCAACAGAAGACAGCGAGGGGTGGGGTTTGAACAGCCACGTTTATTTCTCACAGGTCAAGGGGCTGTCCTCGTCCCGCTCAGGTTCTGGGCTCCCAGGCCAGGCAGCCCCCTGCCGGTGCCCGTCCCCCTGCATGTCCGACACTGTCCCTGCTGTGGTGCTGCCTTTCCCTGCCAGACCGATGGCTTCAGGATGGAATTATCAGGAGGGGGAGGCAAAGGTGTTTGCTCTTAAAAGTCATTTCTTATTTGGTTGTTTTAATTGAGGTCAAATTCACATCATAAAACGAACGCTAACCATTTTACAGTGAACAGCTCAGTAGCATTTAGTACATTCACATTGTAGAACAACTATCACTTCGTCTAGTTCCAAGACGTTGTCATCACCGAAGAAGAACCCGGTCAGCCCATTGCCCTCCCAGCCTGACAGCCGCCCTGCACCCTGTGTTTCTGGGTTACTTCTCCTGGACCTTTCCTGTCAGGGTCATGTGACGGGGCCTGTCTGTGTCGGCTTCTTCCCTGAGCATCGTATCAGAACTTCATTCCTTTCTGACCGAACAGCACTGTCCACTGTATGGAGAGACCACTTCCCCTGCTCACAGGTGATGGACACTGGGTGTTTCCACATTTGGCCACTGAGCAGAGCTGCTCTGAATATGCAGCAGCGTTTTGTTGGAACGCTTGTTTTCATCTCTCTGGGCCTGTGTCCCGAGTGGAATGCTCCATCTCATGGGGACTGTGTCTGTGTGGAAGAGCCACATGCTTTCCCAGCAGCCACACCATCTCACACCCACACCCAACCCCACACCCCACACCCACCAGCAGTGTGCAGTGCCGGGCTCCAGGCTCCACGTCCTCAGCGGCACCTGTTATTTTCATTTTCTTGATTGCACCTAAACTAGAGGGTATCTCGTATGGCTTTGATTTGCGTTTCCCGAGCGATTAATAATGTTGAGCATGTTTCCATGGGCTTGTTG